CGCCTAGGTGGATGCAGCATCAATCCGATACTGTAACTGTCTCCCGGCAGCTCTAAGACTGAGAACTGTCCAATCAAAGACCACTGATCACTGAGTTTTCTGTCTTCAGTCCACAGAGAGCAGTGACTGTCAGTCTGTCACCAGCTCTCTGCTCTGCCCCTCCAGTGCTCACTGGAGTGCCAGGGTGTGGACAGGAAGGGGAGGGGCTGGCTCAGGCACTCAGCAGCACGCTGAGAGGTCGAGCCAGCTGCCAGTCCAGGCATCTGGGTGGATCCCAACTGTAAAGTCAGGATTGATCCAGAACCTGGACCGGCTGAGTGCAGAATGAACTGCACTCCTGTGATCCACTGGCGAAGTAGGGCCAAAATAGCTTTGGCCATACTTCTCCTTTAATTCTTTCTTGGTATCCTGTGATTACTTTGGATTTGGTTATTTTTTCATCAGCTCAGTTTAGAAACATGTTTTGTATTTGTGAGATACTCATTATAATATGATGGCTTGGGCCAAGAAATTAAAAAGATTTAAATTATTTTTTTTATTTTATTGTTCATGTTCAATAATGTATCAACTTAAAAGACAGTATCTGTTAGTTTGGATAGCGTTTCAGATAGCAGATGTCTTTTCTCTCATTGTGCTAGGGGTAAATGCAACAGAATATGATTCTAAAATTGATTACTCTTCCCCGGAGCAGCATGTGTCTAAATATAAAACAATATGTTCCTAAATATAAAACGTGTCTGATTTTCCTAGGGCTGATCAAGTTTCCCACTATGCTGATTAAAATAGATTTGATTTCAGCCCTTTTTTTGAATAGAATCCTATTCCTATTATTAATCTGGGACACTTACGCTTAAAGCTTAACTCCAGACACAAAAACTTTTAATTAAAATGTATTCCTCAATAGCCACTAAGGATATAAAGCCACTATGTGTGCACCATATGCCTTTGCAAACACAGGTATTACCTTGTAAATGTACTGGTGAAATCTTAACTGTACTGCAAATAGCCTGTGCAGAGAGCAGAGCTGTGGGAGGGACCCAGTAAACTACCTACTACAGAGCAGAAAAATGCAGGAGGGGGTAGATAAAAGACCAGTCAAACTGCCCATGGAGAGAAAGCAGCAGTGATAGGTCTTTATTACAAGAAGTTCCTGCACAGAGGAAATTTTCACTGTGGATAACTGCACAGATCTGAAAGGAATACACAAGGAACACCGAGATTCAAGGAAGAATACACATGCCTCTGTGTTTAGACAGTATCTGCTTACCTGGAATTCAGCTTTAAAGTGGTTCTAAAGGCTGAAGGTTTTTTACCTGCATTTTATGTGTGAAGATAAAAAACCTTCAGTGCTCAGCTACTGCCTCCCGTTTATACTTACCTGAGCCCAATCTCAATTCAGCGACATGCACAAGAGTAGTGGCTGTCAAGGCTCTTTCCCTCTTCATAGGCTCAGGGACAGCAGTGAGAGCCATTGGCTCACAGCCAGTGAGGAGGGAGCGGAGGACGGGGCTGAGTCACACTCAGTGAGACTCAAGAGCTAGCATGCACGAGTGCCCCCATAGTAAGTGGCATGCTATGGGGTACTCAGCAGCCGGGAGGGGCCAGGAGTGCTGGCAGGGAACCCAAGAAGTATTACTTGAACTCACAAAGCTAAATACTTATTGTCAAAGAAGATAAGGAATTTGCAGTTAAAGTGGTTGTAAAGGTTCCATTTTTTTTTTTTTTACATTCATGCATTCTATTCTGTTACATGGTTGAAAATAGAGTGACTTGGGGCTTGTCTACGTTTATGGTATTGTTCACCACCCCTCTGCAAAGTGTCTTTCAGAGAGCAGTTGACAGGTGACTGGGAGGCCCGCTCACCACCTGTTGTAATCATTGAAAGACTAGTACAACGCTTCAACCGCATTCATCACATGCAGTTGCGGTGTGTCCCTATTCCCTTGAATGGATCATGTTTGCCAATGGTTCTTTCTGCTAACTGCAACACGGGGTAAATTTTGCTGTGATATATGTACTACCTTGTATGGCTGCCGTATTAGATTAAAGTGGAACTGCATTGCATTTGAGCACCACGAACCAGAAATGCTATATAATTCATTTTTAATATTCAAAACAAACTCCTCCATCCATCCATGTCACCATGCTTTATTTTGCTGAGAAATCATTTTGAAAAACGCCTCCTGGCATTTCTGGAAGTGGTCATCTTGAATACGGGCAGATGATTCATGTAGCAGTTACTTCCTTGAATCTATCTGTCCTTAGCTCAGGCGTTGGCTAAGCTGAGAACCCTCCCTCCCTTCCTTTAGACTCTTGGGATGTATGACATCATTTTCCTAGGCATGGAAAAAAGGAAGTAAATGAAAAAATGCAAAAAAAGGTTTTTTAAAACAAGTAAATATAATATACTTATTAATGCTAGCAGTATAAGGACTGGAAATAGTCCATGTTGATTGAGAGAGTGAAGTTCCGCTTTAGGCTGCAGCTCAGCCACCTATTTTACCCCCCCCCCCCCCCCCGCCTCAAGTGTAAATGAGGCCTTCAGCTTGTGTAAAGGTGAGGCTATTCTAGTTACGTATTTAGTAGCCTGCAATAGTTTGTGTAGATATGTGTTACGTCTTGGTCCTTACTGTGTTTGCAGTTGTAGAATGAACATTAACTGCACCAATGATGGTTTCACTTATCAGGACCATCTCAAAGGTTCACATTGTTCAAGGTTCAAGATTTTTTTTTTTCTATGAGAAATCATCATCTCTGTCTTGTAGGTGGGGCCTAGAGCCTCTGATGTGATATGCTGTCACTTACTAGACATCAGGTGAACCTTTGTAATCTGTAACCTAGACTCCCTTAAGAGTCAGTTCTGGCCAGCTCAGCGGATTGCTTTAAAAAAGTCCTGGATTGTTTCTTAGATACACAGAATATAACTGGATGCTAACATTTATAGGTAAAGTTGATCCAGGGAATATTCGATTGTCTCTCAGGGGATCAGGAAGGATTTTTTTCCCCTGCAGGAGCAAATTACCGGTAGATCATGCTTTGCTGGGTCTTTTTGCCTTCCTCTGGATCAACTGTGGGTATAGGATTATAACTTGTTTTGTTTTTTTTTAATGGTTGAACTGGATGGACTTTTATCTTTTTTTCAGCCAGACTATGTAACTATGTAACCTGGAAATACAAAAGGAGGAATCATATTGTCCATTCAAAACTTGTATTGCAGTTTTTCGTGAGAGTCACTGGGTTGAATTACTAACTAGATTTATATGTATGTGGCAATGGGGGACTGAGTCCTTCCTCCAACTATATATAAAATAATTCAACTTTCCCTGCTAAATAGTACACAACGTGAAGTGGATGGGGGAAATGAACAATGCTACAGAAAAAAACTTTACTTCACAATGGCTTATGCAGTTTAGGTGGAGCTGGGTCTAATAAATAAATCACAACAGTGGAGACCCTGAAAAGTTTTAAAACACCAGTAGGTGGTTCAGGCTGCCAGAGCGCAGCCAAATCAGGAATATCTGTCTTGGATGTTCTATTCCTTTTAAATTCCAGTCAACAACAACAATCAATGAGCTGCTAATGCTATCCAGCAAACCTACCTCTGTACAAAAGTCAAAACTTTACTCTGTGAGTTTACAATTTACTTCATGATCCCCTGGAAATGTCAGAAGTGAAAGGGGCAGCCTTAAAGCGGAGCTCCACCCAAAAGAGGAAGTTCCGCTTTAAGGACTGCTCCCCCACTCCCTATTAAGGATTGGCACCTTTGGGGGGCGGGGGGGGGGAGCGGGTACCCGAATTTGACAGGTACCCGCTCCCACTTCCAGTCCGATCGCCTAGGTGATCGGAAACAGAAGGTGTCCTCCCTCCCTGTAGTCTTTTGGGACACGTGACAGGTCCCAGAAGACTACAGAACCATTCATGAAGCACGTTACTCGCTCATGCGCAGTGGGTACCCACACGGAAGATGCCGGCCTCCTGGAATACAGGATGGCCGGTGAAATGGGCTGCGGGGGATACACCATGGGACCGAAGGACAGGTAAGTGGCTGTTTTTTAAAAGTCAGCAGCTACAGTTTTTGTAGCTGCTGACTTTTATTTTTTTTGAAAGGGTGAGTGGAACTCCGCTTTAAGTATCAGTCAGGTGTGGTGCATGCACATAGACCACAAGATGTGAGGGATCACGTTTTCAGTTGATATCAGTGTGATACTATTGTCCAATAACATACTGGGTATGAGGTGATCAGTTTGTACTAGGTTTCCAACCTCACTAGTCAGAGATGGAAATCCAATGGCAAGTGAAATGTGGATATATAATCTATTTTACCTATGTATTTAGAGTATGTTTGGAGTGAAGACTTAGTGTAAACCCCAATCAACAGATTAGTATGAATTATTAGGAAATGTAAATGCTTTTACTTTTATCTCATGGCAATATTTTGTAAAAAATGACTTATTTTATGTGCTAAATACCACGGTCACGTTCAGGTACTTGCTCTGTACCGCAATGTAAGAGGTATGGGTGGAGCAAGAAGGAAAGCTGTTTCGCATGAAGGCAGAGTTTGTGCTGATTGACTCAAGTGGGGCAGAAAGCAGGGGATGTCAGGACTGCTGGAGCCACCCTAAAGGATAATTAACAGTCACATGGGGGTCTCTTCTAAACAAGAAGTGCACTGCTTCTCAACCGGGGTCTCCCAGGGCATGCACAGTGAGAATGGCAATGGAGGATACCCAGGATCAGCTGCTATTCCATTGCCATTTAAATAGGGAAGTACAGTGAAATGACAAAATCAACCAGGTGATTACGAACAATCACAACATGTGTAATGGAAACGTGTAGATAGGGTAATGACAGAACAGTACATTTTTAGTTTTAGTGACACTTTAGCTTTTGCTGACATGCCTTGGTTATACTGTTTTATGTTAATACGCTTTTCTGTTAACTTGATGCAGCTCATAGCCTATGCTTATAGTTTACTTCTACTTTTCTTCTTCCTGCAGAAGATGATCCACAGCCTCTTCCTCATCAATGGGTCTGGTGACATCTTCTTAGAGAAACACTGGAAGAGTGTAGTGAGTCGTTCTGTGTGCGACTATTTCTTTGAAGCTCAGGAGAAGGCAGCAGATGTGGAGAATATTCCTCCGGTTATTCCCACCCCTCACCATTACCTTATCAGCATTTACCGAGAAAAACTTTTCTTTGTGGCAGTCATTCAGAATGAGGTGACTCCACTTTTTGTCATCGAGTTTCTTCATCGAGTCGCAGATACATTTCAGGTAGTTGCCAGTGCTGGTTTTTTTTCATTTCTTTTTATTGGTATGGTGAATTGAGTTTTATTTTCTTTTGTTTATAGTGTACCATGCTCAGGGAACAGGAAGTTACTGTTTACTAATTTGCTAACATTGTGTGACAGATGCTTTTGATAATAAACAATAAAAGAATTTCATTATCCATCAGTAGAAGAATTCCATTATGTATTTTATAGTGGCCATACATACTTCGATAAATGATCGAATGCTTTATTTTTTTTATTTTTTATTTTTTTTAATTTAAATATTTATAAATTTTTCATATTATTACAAATATCCATGCAGGGAAACAGTTCACATATAAATAGACAATTATAACATTTCTACATTTCCCCTTCTAAAAAAGCTCTTTTCTTTCCCAACCCACCCCCTCCTCCCCCTCTGCAAGCTCTAACCCAATCTGATCTCTCGAGGCTTATTAACTTTAGGTAACGTCCTAGATTATAGTTTTCTATATTTCTCTTTCAATCCTGCTTTTTCCCACTTTTCCCATTTCATATAGTATACTGCCATTCTATCTTCCTGCATATGGTACGATTTTTCCATTCTACCTATCTGGTTTACTCTATTAATCCAGTCTTCCTCCTTCGGTACCTCAGTTTTCTGCCAAAACTTGGGTATCAAGCCTTTCGCCGCATTTAAGTAGTACCATACGCCTGACTCTTTGTATTTATTTACTGATGTCTCAACATTATGTAGGAGGCACTAATAAAATATTAATTGTGTCGCGCTCCACCTACTAAAAAATAAAATATTTGAAATATTTTCCCCTTCAAACGTGCATATCATGCACTACTGTGAAATAATGTAAATATATATTATTCCATAGTGATATAAAATAAATTAAAATAAAAACCTCTGTGCTACAATTGATTATTAAACAGTGTTACTAAATATATTATAAATAAAATAAGATCAATAATATAAAAAAAAACTCTAATAAATATAATCGAATTCCATATACGTGATATTATTATTATAAAAATAAATAATCAAAAAACCACCATTTAAAGTGACATATATGTGCAAAACAAAATGTGTATGTGACAAATTCCAAAATACACAAAAACATTTTATAATAATAATTAATAAATAATAAAAATGAATATAAAAAAAAAAAAACCTCTATATAATCTTGCTGTGCAAGTGATATTGTGTGTTCACCTCACTTATACAGCCCAAAGTTCTAAATGGAGCTATATACTTATTGTCCTTAACTAGACATAATATGAATGTCCCAATTTTGATCTTTATATATTGTGAAAAATATATTGCTGTTGGAATGGACTGTAACGTTACTCTCCTTCCACTGGGTGGCCTCCCAAATTCTTCTGAGCTGTAAGGGCTAGATGGATGAATGCGGATATCTCCCTCGTCCTGTGGGGATCAATCTCCTATCTCCTCTTCTCCCCTTTTGCTCCTCCAGTTTAGACCATGTAAAAGAAAAATTCCCACATAGTGCTTTATCTTTCATAAAGACTTTAATTTGTCTCTGGTAAAATGCGCACTTACATTCCACAAGACAATACAGAGCGTGTTTCAATGTGTGCCCATGCACAATAACAGTACTCGCCGTTCTGCTGAGAAGTGGCGTTGTGACGTCAGAGCCCCTCCCCTACGCGTTACGCCACAGGGTCACGTGGCTTCCTCAGGGGGATTCAATCTGTAGGAGGCACGTCGTTGGGTCTAACCCTATGTCGTTTCCAGTTATTTCTTCAATCAATTTGACTATTATCTTCCAGCAAGCTTGGATTTTCGGACATTCCCACCATATGTGAAACACCGTGCCTATCTCTCCACATCCTCTCCAACACATTTTTGAACTTTCCCCACTCATCTTATGCTCAACACTCGGTGTAATGTGCCATCGTGTCACACACTTATAATTAATCTCAACCTCTCTCATACTAACATTCTCGTGTATCAGTCTAAACATCTTTCTCTGTTTTTCCTCATCAAACACTACTTCCATATCCCTTTCCCATTTTGTTATAAAAGTTAACTTTGTGTTTGTGTCTAATTCTGTGAGTATTCTATAGATTTTCGCAATACCGTGCTTCCCATCCCTTCGTGTTTCTAACAGCCTTTCAAACATATTCCACTCCTGTTTTAATCTCAGGGGTTTCGGGAGATTTCCAATAAAACATTTTAATTGATGATATGTCCACTCATCTATTCTAGTGAAGATATCTCCCTTCTTCTCTATTAATTCTTTAAATGGTCTCAATTCCCCCTCTACCAAAACATCTCTCAATTGGATATCTTCCTTTCTAAACCATCTCCCTGATATCTTATCCTTTCCCGGAGGAAAGTATTCAGTGTTTGTAAGAGGCATTAATATAGAATTAAATTCCCATTTTAAGTTTTTGTGTAAGTTGTCCCATACCCTTAAAACATTTAAAGTGTAGATACTTGTGCTTTCTTTAATTCCTCTAAACTGTGCTGGAACCCATATCATCTTACTCAATCTGTTTCCACTAAGATCATTTTCAATTTTTACCCAACTTTTCCCCTTATGGTTAAATGTCCAGTCATATATTCTTGCTAAAACTACTGCTTTATAGTATCTCTTGACATCTGGCAGACCCATTCCCCCTTTCTCTTTAATCCTACTTAATGTTTCATATGATATTCTTGGTTTTTTATTCTTCCATATATATCTTGTTAACATTTTTTTTATTATCTTAAAGAAGGCCTCTGGGATTTTAATTGGTACCATTTGAAATCTATACAATATTTTAGGTATAATTACCATTTTGACTAGGTTTATACGTCCTATCCAGGATGGGTTTCCTCCTTCTAATATTTTTAATTCTTCCCCGATCTCGTTTATCAAAGAAATATAGTTTAATCTATATAAATGCTTAGATGAGACAGTGAGTTTTATTCCTAGGTATTTTATATCTTTTTCTCTCTCCATATAAAGGGGAATTCTTTTTGTAGCTTTTCTTTTTCGTTCTTTGGTATATTAATGTTCAAAATCTCTGTTTTTGTTGGGTTAATTTTTTAGATTTGATAATTCACCATACTCCTTCAGGATCTTCATTATATTTGGGAGTGTTATTCGGGGATTCCCCACATAGAACAATAAGTCGTCCGCAAAGGCCGCTACTTTATGTTCTATAGTTTCTATCTGAATTCCCTTTACCGCTCCACTATTCCTTATTATTGACAACAGAGGTTCCAGTGACAAAACATATAGTAAAGGGGACAGTGGGCAGCCCTGTCTTGTTCTATTAGACATCCCAATGGGGTCTGATCTCTCCCCATTTACCGTGATGATTGCGGTAGGCTCCCTATATAATTTACTTATCCACTCACGCATTCTATCTCCTATCTCCAGCGCTTTTAAGTTGTCCATCATAAAGCCCCAGTCCACTCTATCAAATGCCTTCTCTGCATCAATTGACAAGAGCACCACCGGGGCTTTCCCCCTTTTCTACTTTTCTAAATAAGCATCAGGGTTCTCAAACCGTTATCTCTACCCTCTCTCCCTGGTACAAAGCCCACCTGATCACCATGTATCCAATCAGACATTAGATCTTTCAACCTGTTTGCTAGAACCTTTGCGTACAGTTTGGTATCAGTGTTCAATAATGAAATTGGTCTATAGCTGGAGCACTGAGAGGGATCTTTTCCCTCCTTGTGAATAAGTACTACATGGGCCTGTAAAGATTCCCTCCTCACCTCCATCCCACCTCCCAGAGCATTCATATACTTCTTCAGCTTGGGTAACAGTAATTCACTGTATTTTTTATAATACCTAACTGTGTAGCCATCCGGTCCTGGGCTTTTTCCTCCCCCTGTACTTCTTAATGCTGCTTTAATTTCTTCCTGGGAAATTTCCATGTCCAAGGAGTTCAACTGTGCTTCACTTAGTTTTGGTAGTCCCGCATTTTTTAAATATATCATCCTTTTTTCATTAATTCCCTCTCGAGCTTCTTTTGGAGAGCCTTGGGGACTAATATTATATAACTTTCTATAACACTACTCCGTGAACACTTTAATAATCTCTTTTAGTTGAGTAGGCCAACTCCCCCTTAGGACTTTTTATCTTTTCTATATAGTTCCTATTTTTCTTTTTATTCAAAGCTCTCATTAAGTAATTTCCTGGTCTATCTCCCCATCTATATCTCTCACTTAAGACTTTGTTATATACTCTTCTCTTCTCCTCATCCATCAACATCTCTAGCTCAACTTTTTTATCCATTAACTTCTGTCTTGTATCTTTTGTTATTTTCTTCTTGTGGATCTGCTCCAGGTCCAGTATTTCTTTTAGAAGCCCACTGACCCTCTCTCTTCTTTCTTTTTTCTTCCTTGCTCCTGCCGCAATCAAAATTCCTCTTATAAATACCTTATGACTCTCCCAAACTGTAGCTATCGATACTTCCTCTGTTTCATTCTCCTTAAAATATACCTCAATCTCTTTCCCGATCCTCTGAGCTATATCCTCATCCAGAAGAAGAGCCTCATTTAACCTCCACCCTAAACCTCCAGTCCACCTTCTTCCCCATCCCATTTTGATTACGACAGGAGCATGATCAGAGAACGTTCTTGTCTCTATTTCTATTTTGACCAAAAGTTCAATGAGTTGGTGGTCTATTAAAATGTAATCTAGTCTCGAGTATGTCTCGTGTGCATTAGAGAAGAAGGTATAGTCTCTGTCTTTCATATGCATTATTCTCCAGGTGTCCACTAGTTGATACTCGTGAATCACTTTTTTAAAAGCTCTCAGAGACCTACCCCCCTCTCTTTGCACAGAAGAGGTAGCGTCCTTTTGTGTTTCCATGCAGAAATTTAAATCTCCTGCTACTATCAAACGCCCTTTTTTAAATTCTATCAATTTTTTCAACAGACCCTTCATATACATCTCCGGTTTCTTATTGGGGCAGTATATATTGGCTAATGTACACTCAATCCCCTGAAGTTTACCTTTCAAGAATAAAAATCTCCCCTTAGGATCGGTC